CAAGGAACAAATTGGTCCCCTTGATATTGAAAGTCACGCCTTGCGCCGCCGACCAAGCATTACGCATCTGTGTCAAGAGCGCCGCATGACTGAACGGCTTGGTCGTATGAACCCGGAACAAGGCTAACCAGCGGACATCTTTGGTCAAAACTTCCACCTCCTCTGAGAAATCCAGATCCTCCTCTTCCTTCCCATGCAACTTCATCCCGGCGAACTGATCCTCCAGATCAGGCCCCGGCCCATAATACGAGCCATACTCATCCTCCCCTCCTCCCGACGCACTCCTCCTAGCCTGAGAACTGTGGCTCCCCCCATCCGCCATGGAGTTGTCTTGGCTTCCAACTTCCCTGACCCCATCATGAACTTCAGATCCGGTCGCCCCCTCAAGCCCTAACCCTACTTCTGCCTCCATCTCTTCCCCCTGCCCCCCTGTCATCTGGCGCGACGGATCCGCCATGCAAGCGAGCGAGCGCTGCGAGAAGTGGTAGATCTCACCGACGGCCGGAGGATACCGGCGATCGGCGAGAGTTTACGTGGACTCTGACAAGGATCGCCAGAGGAGCGGTGGAACCCTAGAAACTAGGGGAAAAAAGTCCCGTGCGTGCAGGGGAATCCTAAATTATAAATAAACTGGGAACCAACTCATTAAACGAACACAATTGAAATCCAGCGAACAAAAAAAAATCAGCAAATATGGGCCGGACTAGTAGCTACAGATGGGGGAGAATCCTCTAGGCGAGTCCTTCCATCTCGCGTTAAGCCGGATATAACTCTCGTGGTCTGTTTCGCAAAAAAAGAAACCCTCTCACGGTCTTCTTTAGCAACCTTTAGCTCATAGTAGGGCGTGTTGGGCTTATTTTTATTTTATTTTTGAGAAATGATGGGCTTAATATTTAAATCAGGTTCGTGTGGGGCGTGTGCCGGGTGCGTCAAGGTATGATCCGGAAATTCTGGAAGCTTATTTCCGGATCAACCATTTCCAGAATTTCCAGATATTATTTGTATTCCCGAACTTATCATTAGTTAATTATAAAGTTGGTTACCCGTAAAAAAACGGTCTCACCGAGATAAAAAAACACGGCATCGCCTCTAGGGAGCCTGATCAACCCGCCCAGTAAGAAGTCCTATCTGTGTTAATTCAATATATATGGGTTGGTTAGTTCTTTTTTTCTTTTACTTTTATTTCAGAATATTCTACACACACACACACACACACACACACACACACACACAGATGAAATGTTCAGATCACATTAAAAAATGTTCATGACCTTTAGAAAAATGTCCGCACATTTCACATTTTCCAAAAACAATTATGAGATGTAAATTTTTATTACATAATTTTAAAAAAATCCTCGTATATTTAAATATGGTCAGATGTTTAAAAAATATAATGTAAAAAGACATTGTTTGTGTAATTTTCAAAAAATTCCTACCATTTAAAAAAAATATTTTATGACATTTAATAAAATGCGTCACACGTTTTAAAATAGGTTCACGAAATTTTAGAAAATGTTCTTGTTATGTTAAATTTGTCCGTGTAGTTCTGAAAATATTATTGGGGCGCCCATGATGTCAATCTCTCCAGGCAAGCGCAAGTTCTGCCTGGCGATAAGTGATATTTAGCATTTGCAGCGTGCACCATCCGACCTATTTAGCCGCTCTTAGTTATTTAGATGCATTCTCGTAAAAAAGTCATTTTGATGTCAATTACTCAGATCTTAATGACACATGAACAAAACAATTCAGCACCCTGCTGCTATGCTATAACTTCCAGTTTAATTTAAGGTGCATTGTAGCATGATTGGGAGCAAAATCCTTCATGACGATTTTTAGCATGTAGTGTAAATAGTGTCATTTTCAATAACTACTTCCTCCGTCTCATAATGTAAGAGCAATTTTGACAAAACTAGTGTCAATCACGCTCTTATATTGAAGGACGGAGGAAGTAATTGATAAACCTGTAGTTGAGACGGCCATCTTGGGGTTGAGGCTAATAGCACCGTTGCATGTTAAAATTCCAAACTCCTGTAATCTTCCATGCCTTGCAAGTTAAAAGTGGAGAACGTAATGTTCAACTACCTTGCTGCTCCACCTTGTGCAATCAGAAAAGGGTGTTGATTATTAACCGTCTTTTTTATTACTTCAACTTGAACTCAGTACAATCAGAGTAACCTCTTGTGATAATATATTTTGTTGTTAGCTCTTTCTTTTTACAATCACGTCTGCCATGATGACGTATAAATGCTCTTCTCCGCAGGCATTCTCGAAACTTGACAGCTCCGATGGACCATATATATCGGAAGAACTGAAAATTTTCAGCTCAGTAATATTGGAATATTTTTTTAGCTCACTTAATTTTTTCTATCAGAAAATAGATTGAAATTGAAATGGGTTTAACAAATTTTAACTTTTTTTATTGAAATTGAAATGAATTCCATATATCCCTTTATGCCATACTCCCTTTGTAAAAATATATAAGAGTGTTTAGATCACTAAAGTAGTGATCTAATCTAAACGTTCTTATATTTCTTTACAGAGGGAGTACATTTCAATAATATAGTTACTAGATGCATTTCAATTACAAAATCACTGTTATAAGATGCATTTCAATCCCAGATCACACTCTTACGAGATGCATTTCAACACCATATACTTCACCATCATATCACTTTGTTAGTATATAAATTTCAATACCAATTGCATTTCATCTTCGAGACCAATTTCAGTACTGGATCCATTTCAACTAGTACAGATGTGAGATTGAGATTGAAATGCAACTGGTACAGATGTGAGATTGAAATTGAAATTTCCAGAGTGCATAAATTTCAATTTGCAGACCAATTTCAGTACCACATCCATTTCATCCCCAGCCTTTTTAATTATTGAGACTGAAATATGGAATTGATTTTTCACATCACAACTATCAATGTGAAATTAAAACGGTGAAAATTAACATACAACTTGCACTAGAAAATGCAATAGGTGGGAACGGAACCCACTGCTGCTTGTAGGACCATTCCCAGGCTCCTATTTGCCATGGATAAACTAAACCTCTAACCCAAATTGCTGCCAGGAAAAATAGCACTAGATTGTTGCCACTGCCGATGACAGGGTGTTAGTAGTTATGAGTATAAATTTTAGCTGAGGATTATATTCTAGAATTTCAATCTAAGAGATGATATCAAAATGTTTGACGGCAGATCCATGTCAAACATCTTGCTTCACAGCAAAATGTAACAAGCACCTCCTTACTACATGAAACAGATTAGTAACATCGGACATACATCAAAGTGGAGTTTTAACCTTCATTACAACCAAAATGATGCATGATTCTACTGGAACAGGTTTGACGTTCATAAACATGATTTTCTGCTTCTTCCGCCTACATTATATTAGCATAGTGATGGACGATTCTACCACACTTCAAACATTCAGAACTTGAATGAAATCTGTAGGCCACCAGGAGCATGTCGAACAGATCGAGCTTGGGCACTGTGGTATCCACCCCCAGCAGGATGCAGGATATTCTCAGAGCACAGGCTACAACCACCATTGTTTTTGGGATTGCCTGCGAGTGTAAAATCATTTATGTAAAGAACAACACACACACACCCGCATAATTCATCAAGATAAAATTTGTGTGAACAAAAACTGGAACTTGGATTATTGAACATACCTGGGTCAAGCTTAACACATGAAACACAAGATATTTTCCTCGTCCCCACAATTTCCGATTCAGCAAAGAAGTACTTCGGGACAAGATCAACACAGTTGGTGGCTCCTTTTCGCTTAGCAAGGAAATTCGCATGGAACCAGATACCATTGAAGACAAAGACATGGCTGCTCACTGGTTTAACCATCTCATGCTCATCCCCCTAACAAATTCACAAACATAAGAGGGCAGTCCAAGGGTGCATATACGAATTAATGAGTAGCTACTAGCTAGGCACTTGGTAATGCATTATGAACTGTTAGATTTAGTCTGTGGAATTCACCACCATAATAGGGCAGTTCAAGGGTGCAATTAAGTGCCATGTAACTGAGAAAGAAGTTAATCTTATCATGAAAAACAAACTGGGAAAGGATAAGAAAAAAAGGAGAACTTGGGCAGGTCAAGAGGTGAATCACATTGCACACTGGTTCCATAGTCTTCACCGCACGTTGGAGCAATTAAAGAGTATGATCACAGTTTACAAGGTCCAGCTCACTGGGATATTGCTGGGGAACATTTACAGAACATCAAGACAAGAAGACTATTTTAACCTTGCATTGTGATACCAGAGTCTAGAGAACTTGCAGGCTGTTCTATAACAACACTTTCATGTACATAGGGCCAAACTAGACCTATTGAGCCTCAGGCAGCACAGCATACACAGTGCAGAAGCATTCTAGACCACATGCTAGTTTCTTTATAATCATATAAACACCCATGTCTCAAGCTTAATTACATTCTAGAGCACTTGCAAGATCAAGTTTGTTCCAGTTTGACTTATTTCCACTAGCGGAAAACGGCACACTGAGTTTCAACGCACAAAGTAAAGAAAGCAGAAGAGTTGTCCCAATCTGATGAACTAAATGTTGAATGAATACCCTGCCACTAAGTGCAGTATGCAATATTTATGCACTTGAGTAGAGTAGAGCAACCTGATTCATGTTGTTGTAGTGTTCCAAAGCCACACGTGCACACGTCGGAGTTTGCCATGTTGGATCATGCTTAATTTCTATCCTGTAAGAGCAGAAGTGTCAACATTATACGCATGTCTTGCTTGTGTGTTTTGCATCAAACTAGTACTTATGAGTTAACATTGAATGGTATTATCACATAGAACAGAAGCACTAAACCTTTAATAACAAGTATAAAGTCAAAAGGCGATAACTTACATCGACAAACGATTTTGGACCTCGATGTTAATTATCACTAGTGAGAGATTACAGCTCATACTTCTCGATGGAGAACTGAATGGCAGGTGATATAACTTGCAACGACAGACAATTTTGGACCTAGATACTATACGTCATACTTGTTGATGGAAAAATAAATAGCAGGCAGGGAGCACATGAAACATAACAGATAAGAGATAAAAGAAGCGATTATAGGATTGCATGTTGCTTAAATATCCTAGGCACCAAGCAGAATTTACTCCCACAAATGTGGAATTGTTGCATTTTAAAAGAGAATCTCCTAGCAGGGTGTGCAGAAACAACTAAACCAAGTGTTCAAGAATATATAGATAGATAAAAGACAGCATCTATCACCAGCATACAGATTATATTTCCAGTACTTGATTATGTAGTTGAGACTATATCAACTCCCATTTATACCAATTATTACTAAATGCTAATGTTGGTCTATTCAACAAAGTACTCTCTCGGTATGAATATATAAGACGTTTTTGTAGGTTAGGCCTACAAAAATGCCTTATATTTTGGTACAGAAGTAGTAAGTGGCAAGGGCAGGGGTCTGAAGCTTGGCTCATGTTGTGAGCATAATAGCAAATAGAGATAGAACAGAAGCACTAAACCTTTAACAAATACTCCCTTTGTAACTTAATATAAGACGTTTTCGACTTGACACTTCAAAAACGTCTTACATTAAATTACGCAGGGATTTGAAAGTCAAAAGGCGGTAACTTACATCGACAAACAATTTTGGACCTCGATGCTATCACTAGGGAGAGGTTACAGCTCACACTTGTCAATGGAGAACTGAATGCCAGGTGATAACTTGCAACGACAGACAGTTTTGGACCTAGATAATATACCTCATACAGTCATACTTGTTGATGGAAAAATAAAGTAAATAGCAGGCAGGGAGCACATTAAACTGTGTCATAACCAATGACCCTCAAAGATGGAGACATGATGAGAAAAGTATTGTAATGGTCTAATGGAAGGACTTGATGGTGAGATAATAGATAAGAGATAAAGGAAGGGATTACAGGATCACATGTTGCTTGAATATCCTAGGCACCAAGCAGATTTTACTCCCATGTACAAATTTCAGAGTTGTTGCATTTTAAAAGAGAATCCCCTAGCAAGCAGGGTATGCAGAAACAACTAAACCAGCTGTTCAAGAATGCATACAGATAGATAGTAGAAGACATAATTTATCACCGGCATATATACAGATCATATTTCTAGTACTACTGGATTGCATAGTTGAACTATATAAACTCCCATTTATACCAATTATTATTACTAAATGCTAATGTTGGTCTATTCAACAAACTATATAAGCTTGGCTCATGTGTTGAGCATAATAGCAAAATCACGGACAATGGCATCGATTCAGCTCACTATATCCATCAATCAAAGAATTAATCCAAAGCATGCAGCACATTAGGGAGAATTAAGTAAGGAAGTGATTGCGTTGCGGGTGTGGAGAGGTTACCCGTTGTCGTAGCGACTGGGGGCGAGCTTGCGGTTGCTGGTATCCCGGACGACGCGGTTGCGGAGTCTGTACGCGGTGCGATGCCAATTAGGGGGGACGGAGTGCTCGGGCTTGGGCGGAGGAGCCGGGGCCTCCACGCGCCGTGCGGGGGGAGGAGGCGACGCGACCGCACCCTCCGAGTCCGAGTCCAGGGGGCGGGGTGGTCGCGCAACCCTCGCCGCTCGACGCTTGGGCGGAGGGGCCGGGGTCTCGGCGCGGCGTGCTGGAGGAGAAGGAGGAGGAGGAGGAGGCGGCGCGACTGCACCTTCCAAGTCCGAGTCCAGGGGGCGGGGTGGTCGCGCAAGCCTCGCAGACTCGCGCTTGCGCAGAGGAACATGGCTCTCGGCGCGCTTGGCCCGGCGTGCCGGAGGCTCCGCCACCTTCGACTCGGGCTTCGACCGCTCAGGGCGCTTGGCTCTCCGGGACTCGCTGGTGGCGCGCTTGTCATGGAGGCCAGTCATCTCGGCGCCTCCGGTCGGACGGGGGATTTGCGGGTGGGGTGGGGAAGAAGATTTCTTTAGGAAAAAATCCAACGTGAAGTAGTAGTACAGGTCCGGTCGGAACGTCTAGCGAACTACCGTATGGGCCGTGGCCCAGTAACAACAGTTACCGGGTCGTTGAGTGCTCGTATTCTTAAGAGCATCTATTATTACCCCAATGATACCCTAAAAAAAACTATTACCCCAACTAGATCTAAAATAAAATCTATTACCCCAACTCTTCTAAAAGAAAAATCCATTACCCCAACTTTTCCTAAAAAGAAATCTATTACCCCAACTCAACCATCTAATCCCTCAAAAATAAAAACCCAACTCAACCATCTTGCAGGCAACATTAGGGAACCATCCGAGCCAGATCTGGAGGTCCATTATCAAGGGCCGTGACACACTGAGACAAGGCTTAATCAAGCGTATTGGCAACAGTGAAAGCACAAATATATGGGAGGATAATTGGCTCTCTCGCGAGGAGATGATGAGGCCGTATGGATGCATTTCAGCAATCCACCTACTACTGTTTCAGAACTAATCGATACCACTACGACTGCATGAAATTACCAAGTACTGAATTACACATTCATGCATTTTGACGCCAAGGTAATTGCAAGTATACCACTGTGTACGATGGATATGCACGACTTTTGGGGCTGGGCGCACGAGCGGAGTGGCCAGTTTTTAGTCAAGTCATCGTATAACATGTTGGTGGCTGGGCGCACGTCCATTTTACATCATGTCTTTCTATTGTTATTTATTGTATTTTGGACTGTTATTTCACTTTAGGATACTATTGTTATGTTTTTTCTCTCTTAGTTTTCAAGTTTCACATGAAGAGGGAGATTGCCGGCAGCTGGAATTCTGGACTCGAAAGGGGTGCAACAGAGATAGCTATTCTGCACAACTCCAAATGACCTTAAAATTTACGAAGAATTATTTTGGAATATATATAAAAATATTGGCGAAAGAATTACCAGAAGGGGTCCCACCAGGTAGCCACAAGCCTCCCCCCCAGGGCACGCCCTTGTGGGCCCCTGGCAGGCCTCCGAGGCCCATCTTCTCCTATAAGATGTCATTTGCCCTAGAAAAAAATCAGAACAAGACTTTCGGGACGAAGAACCGCCGTCTCGAGGCAGAACCTTGGCAGGAACACTTTCGCTCCCCGGCGAAGCGATTCCGCCGGGGACACTTCCCTCCGGGAGGGGGAAATCGAAGCCATCGACATCACCAACAACTCTCTCATCATGGGAGGACCAATCTTCATCAACATCTTCACCAGCACCATCTCATATCAAACCCTAGTTCATCTCTTGTATCCAATCTCTGTCTCAAAACCTCATATTGGTACCTGTGGGTTACTAGTAGTTTTGATTACATCTTGTAGCTGATGCTAGTTCGTTTATTTGGTGGAAAATTATATGTTCATATCCTTAATGATATTAAATACCCCTCTGATCTGGAACATTAATATGATCTGTGAGTAGTTATTTTCGTTCTTGAGGACATGTGAGAAGTCTTGTCATAAGTAATCATGTGAATTTGGTTTTCGTTCGATATATTGATGATATGTATGTTGTTGCTTCCTTTCGTGGTGTCATATGAACGCTGACTATATGACACTTCACCATACTTGGGCCTAAGGAAAGACATTGTGAACTAATAAGTAGATGATGGGTTGCTAGAGTGACATAAGCTTAAATCCTACTTTATGTGTTGTTCCATAAGGGGCTGATTTGGAGACATATGTTTCATGCTATGGTTAGATTTATCCGAATTCTTCTTTCGTAGTTGCGGATGCTTGCGAGAGGGGGTAATCATAAGTGGGAGGCTTGTTCAAGTAAGAACATCACCCAAGCATCGGTCCACCCACATATTAAATTATCAAAGTGTAGGGAAACGCAACGGAAAACAAAAAATTTCTGACTTATGCACCAACCCAAGACCATTATGGAGACTGCATATAAGGTGGGGTGGTGTGGTCGCCCGACCCTGGAAGACTCGCGCTTGCGCAGAGGAACATGGCCCTCGACGCGCTTGGCCCGGCGTGCCGGAGGCTCCGCCACCTTCGACTCGGGCTTCGACCGCTCAGGGCGCTTGGCTCTCCGGGACTCGCTCGTGGCGCGCTTGTCATGGAGGCCGGTCATCTTGGCGGCTCCGGTGCTGGTGGTACGGGCTTAGGGGTGGGGAGGAAGACGAGGGGGACGGGGAGCGGACTCCTTTTTTTTAAGAAATGGGGAGCGGACTCCTTTATTCAAACACTATGTTAAGTGGCATACAAATAATATCCAGCCTATCTATAAGCCAGACATGCCTCCCAAAATCTAAAGAAATACTACTCTCTCCGTCCTACTCCCTCCGTTCCTTTATGTAAGGTGTATTATTTTTGGCACGGTGACCAAGGCACATAATTATAGACATGTTAAGACGAAATTACCCTTGACAAATTTATTGGTTAGTGGCAAGTAAATCAGTTAGTCCAGGAAAGTAAGAGATACATGCAATCGAGATAGAGATATTTTCCTTCTTTTGCTACAAGAAGAGATACAAACAATCAGGAGACAGATACTTTCCTTTTTTCTAGCGGGCTAACAAGGGAATTATGAGAAATTAGAAGAAATGCACCTTACATTGTGGAATTTTATCAAAAACCAAATACACCTTATATAAAGGAACAGAGGGAGTATAATATAAAAACATTTTTTAGCAATTTTAGCCTCGTGGGTACAGGCCGCTCCCCCCGCGTCACCCCCGCTCGGGCAACTCGGGCGGGATCCCAACCCTAGCCGCCAGGGGCTCCCCGTCCTTCCATCCCTCCCTCCGCCGCCGCCGAAGGACGCCGCCGGCCTATAGCCCGGGGGCTGACGGTGGTGGCGGGGGCCTTCCCTCTCTCCCGTGTTATGGGGGCGGTGCGGAGCCCCGCTGCGTGTGGTGGCACGGCCGATCTGGCCTTCGTGGCGTGGCAGGCCTGCCTTTGTTGGAAATATGCCCTAGAGGCAATAATAAAAGCATTATTATTATTATATTTCCTTGTTCATGATAATTGTCTTTATTCATGCTATAATTGTGTTATCCGGAAATTGTAATACATGTGTGAATAATAGACACCAACATGTCCCTAGTAAGCCTCTAGTTGACTAGCTCGTTGATCAACAGATAGTCATGGTTTCCTGACTATGGACATTGGATGTCATTGATAATGAGATCACATCATTAGGAGAATGATGTGATGGACAAGACCCAATCCTAAACATAGCATAAGATCATATAGTTCGTTTGCTAGAGTTTTTCCAATGTCAAGTATCCTTTCCTTAGACCATGAGATCGTGTAACTCCCGGATACCGTAGGAGTGCTTTGGGTGTACCAAACGTCACAACGTAACTGGGTGACTATAAAGGTATACTACGGGTATCTCCGAAAGTGTCTGTTGGGTTGACACGGATCAAGACTGGGATTTGTCACTCCGTATGACGGAGAGGTATCACTGGGCCCACTCGGTAATGCATCATCATTATGAGCTCAAAGTGACCAAGTGTCTGGTCACGGGATCATGCATTACGGTACGAGTAAAGTGACTTGCCGGTAATGAGATTGAACAAGGTATTGGGATACCGACGATCGAATCTCGGGCAAGTAACATACCGATTGACAAAGGGAATTGTATACGGGATTGCTTGAATCCTCGACATCGTGGTTCATCCGATGAGATCATCGAGGAGCATGTGGGAGCCAACATGGGTATCCAGATCCCGCTGTTGGTTATTGACCAGAGAGCAATCTCGGTCATGTCTACATGTCTCCCGAACCCGTAGGGTCTACACTTAAGGTTCGGTGACGCTAGGGTTGTAGGGATATGTATATGCAGTAACCCGAATGTTGTTCAGAGTCCCGGATGAGATCCCGGATGCCACGAGGAGTTCCAGAATGGTCCTGAGGTAAAGAATTATATATAGGAAGTGCTATTTCGGCCATCGGGACAAGTTTCGGGGTCACCGGTATTGTACCGGGACCACCGGAAGGGTCCCGGGGGTCCACCGGGTGGGGCCACCTATCCCAGAGGGCCCCATGGGCTGAAGTGGGAAGGGATCCAGCCCAAAGTGGGCTGGGGCGCCACTTCCCCTAGGGCCCATGCGCCTAGGGTGGGGAAACCCTAAAAGGGGGGCGCCCCCTTGCTTGGGGGGCAAGCCCCCCACCCCTTGGCCACCGCCCCCCCTAGGAGATTGCATCTCCTAGGGCCGGTGCCCCCCTAGGCCCCCTATATATAGTGGGGGGGGGTGGAGGACCTCTCACCTTTTGCCTTTGGTGCCTCCCTCTCCCTCTCCAACACCTCCTCCTCCTCCATAGAGCTTGGCGAAGCCCTGCCGGAGTACTACAGCTCCATCACCACCACGTCGTCGTGCTGCTGCTGGAGCCATCTTCCTCAACCTCTCCTTCCCCCTTGCTGGATCAAGAAGAAGGAGACGTCACGCTGATCGTACGTGTCTTGAACGCGGAGGTGCCGTCCGTTCGGCGCTAGGATCTCCGGTGATTTGGATCACGTCGAGTACGACTCCCTCATCCCCGTTCTTTGAACTCTTCCGCTCGCGATCTACAAAGGTATGTAGATGCATCCGATCACTCGTTGCTAGATGAACTCATAGATGGATCTTGGTGAAACCGTAGGAAAATTTTTGTTTTCTGCAACGTTCCCCATCAGTGGCATCATGAGCCAGGTTTATGCGTAGTTCTCTTTGCACGAGTAGAACACAATTTGTTGTGGGCGTAGATGTTGTCAACTTTCTTGCAGCTACTAGTCTTATCTTGCTTCAGCGGTATTGTGGGATGAAGCGGCCCGGACCAACCTTACACGTACGCTTACGTGAGACCGGTTCCACCGACTAACATGCACTAGTTGCATAAGGTGGCTGGCGGGTGTCTGTCTCTCCCACTTTAGTTGGAGCGGATTCGATGAAAAGGGTCCTTATGAAGGGTAAATAGAAGTTGACAAATCACGTTGTGGCTTTCACGTAGGTAAGAAAACGTTCTTGCTAGAACCCTATTGCAGCCACGTAAAACTTGCAACAACAATTAGAGGACGTCTAACTTGTTTTTGCAGCAAGTGTTCTGTGATGTGATATGGCCAAAGTTGTGATGAATGATGACTGATATATATGTGATGTATGAGATCATGTTCTTGTAATAGGAATCATGACTTGCATGTCGATGAGTATGACAACTGGCAGGAGCCATAGGAGTTGTCTTTATTTTTGTATGACCTGCGTGTCATTGAGAAACGCCATGTAAATTACTTTACTTTATTGCTAAATGTGTTAGCCATAGTAGTAGAAGTAATAGTTGGCGAGCAACTTCATGGAGACACGATGATGGAGATCATGATGATGGAGATCATGGTGTCATGCCGGTGACAAGATGATCATGGAGCCCCAAGATGGAGATCAAAGGAGCTATGTGATATTGGCCATATCATGTCACTATTATTATTTGATTGCATGTGATGTTTATCATGTTTTTGTACATCTTGTTTACTTAGAACGACGGTAGTAAATAAGATGATCCCTCATAATAATTTCAAGAAAGTGTCCCCCCTAACTGTGCACCGTTGCGACAGTTCGTTGTTTCGAAGCACCACGTGATGATCGGGTGTGATAGATTCCAACGTTCACATACAACGGGTGTAAGACAGATTTACACATGCAAACACTTAGGTTGACTTGACGAGCCTAGCATGTACAGACATGGCCTCAGAACATAGAAGACCGAAAGGTCGAGCATGAGTCGTATAGAAGATACGATCAACATGAAGATGTTCACCGACGTTGACTAGTTCGTCTCACGTGATGATCGGACACGGCCTAGTTAACTCGGATCATGTTATACTTAGATGACTGGAGGGATGTCTATCTGAGTGGGAGTTCATTGAATAATTTGATTAGATGAACTTAATTATCATGAACTTAGTCTAAAATCTTTACAATATGTCTTGTAGATCAAATGGCCAACGTTGTCCTCAACTTCAACGCGTTCCTAGAGAAAACCAAGCTGAAAGACGATGGCAGCAACTATACGGACTGGGTCCGGAACCTGAGGATCATCCTCATAGCTGCCAAGAAAGATTATGTCCTACAAGCACCGCTAGGTGATGCACCTGTCCCACAGAACCAAGATGTTATGAACGCTTGGCAAACACGTGCTGATGATTACTCCCTCGTTCAGTGTGGCATGCTTTACAGCTTAGAACCGGGGCTCCAAAAGCGTTTTGAGCGACACGGAGCATATGAGATGTTTGAAGAGCTGAAAATGGTTTTCCAAGCTCATGCCCGGGTCGAGAGATATGAAGTCTCCGACAAGTTTTTCAGCTGTAAGATGGAGGAAAATAGTTCTGTCAGTGAGCACATACTCACAATGTCTGGGTTACATAACCGCTTGACTCAGCTGGGAGTTAATCTCCCGGATGACGCAGTCATTGACATAATCCTTCAGTCGCTTCCACCAAGCTACAAGAGCTTTGTGATGAACTTCAATATGCAGGGGATGGAAAAGACCATTCCTGAATTATTTGCAATGCTGAAATCAGCAGAGGTAGAAGTCAAAAAGGAACATCAAGTGTTGATGGTGAATAAAACCACTAAGTTCAAGAAAGGCAAGGGTAAGAAGAACTTCAAGAAGGACGGCAAGGGAGTTGCCGCACCCGGTAAGCAAGCTACTGGGAAGAAGCCAAAGAATGGACCCAAGCCCGAGACTGAGTGTTTTTATTGCAAGGGAAGTGGTCACTGGAAGCGGAACTGCCCCAAATACTTAGCGGACAAGAAGGCCGGCATCACGAAAGGTATATGTGATATACATGTAATTGATGTGTACCTTACCAGTACTCGTAGTAGCTCCTGGGTATTTGATACCGGTGCGGTTGCTCACATTTGTAACTCAAAGCAGGAGCTGCGGAATAAGCGGAGACTGGCGAAGGACGAGGTGATGATGCGCGTTGGGAATGGTTCCAAGGTCGATGTGATCGCCGTCGGCACGCTACCTCTACATTTACCTACGGGATTAGTTTTAAACCTCAATAATTGTTATTTAGTGCCAGCTTTGAGCATGAACATTGTATCGGGATCTCGTTTAATTCGAGATAGCTACTCATTTAAATCTGAG